AAATCTAATAAATACTATATTTATACTATCTAAATCTAATAAATACTACTATTTATACTATCTAAATCTAATAAATACTATCGGGCATCTGAATTTAATAAATGCTACGTATTCACAAGATTGAAGTCAAAATGTTTCGTAAAGTAATGGGTCAATACTCTTTAGTGAATCGATGCAAGAAAAAGTTACATAATTGTGCTTGATAAAATAGTAGAGAGAACATTAATTCTAAGCGTGCCGAATTACTGTTCTCTCGAAACAAAAAGAGATTCGAGATATTTTTTCAAATGACGAATAGGTGCACTTATAGGTAAAAATGGAACACCCTGTATATCTATGTATGTGCACGTGCATAAATCCGAAATTCTAGCATGCAGCTGCTGATAATGGATGAAAACTCTGTTTCACGCAGTTATCTCGACAAGTTTCGTCGCGAATTGGCCGCAACATTTCTCGAGTTTCGCGAAAGTTGTTCGAAAATTTCGAAAAGCAAAAATAAAGGGTAAGAGAAAGAAATTTATCGACGTAAAAGTAAAAAGTTCTCAGGAACGAAGGAGAGAAAAGCTAGGAAGGTGAGGAAAGGGGAGAAACATAGTTTGAAAAGTAGGAAAGTAGAAAAGGTGGTTCGAACGACTAGTTTTTGGAAGTTGGCGCGCGCGCGCGCGAGGGTATCCGTGACAGGAAGATGGCTGCTTGGATGGTTGCGGATTCTAATTGGACCAATTGGTAAGATAAGGTCTTCAATTTGAGCGGAACGGACATGGCGAGGAGTCACGAACCGGGCTCGACAGGGCCGGATGCAATTAAAAGGTGGAGACGTTATGGCACGAGGCACCGTGTCCTGAAATTACGCTCATCGTAGCCGCGGCCGTTTTATTCCCGCGAATAACAACGAAAATCAACCTAAGAAAGCATGGAATGGTACGATCGATTCTGAAAAATCGAAAGATACTTTTGACTATATATATATATATATATATATATATATATATATATATAAAAGAGAGAGAAGAATGATATAAGCCGTCTTTCTTTTGTTGCTTTAACTAGTTTAAATACATTAATTGTGTAAAAAACACTATACAAAAAAAATAGTATGATATAAGTCGTCTTTTCTACTTTTTTTTTCTTTTTTGGAAGTGGTATAAATCCAATTATGAAAAGGAAATTTATTATATATTTATTTATAACAACGAATTCAGTGTTGTACAATGTCTTCATAAATTCGTCAAAAGAATTTCCAACTGTTAAATGTTAAATAATTATGTACTTAATAATTTATGTATAATACAAGTAATACACAATAATTACACACATAATTACAACTACGTTATAGTTATAATTATGTATGTAATTTATTATGTATAATTATGTATGTAATGTATTATGTATACTGTCTGAATTTATTATGTACAATGTTTGTTGTATGTATTATGTCTTTTGTTGGTTCAAATCTCTCATTGTGCAAATAAATGATACCATTTTCAAAAAGAATAAAAAACGGCTTGTACGCGTGATACACGCGCCAGAAACGGCGAATCGGGGAACGAGTTTGCAAAGATGGCGGCGAACGAATTTGCAAAGATGGCGGCGAACGATCCACGACTTTCTAACCTCAAATTTCCTGCCACGCAGTCAATTTGTCCGCGCTATATGGAGATGTGTGTGTATCTCTACGAAATTTAACAATTATGTACGATTCAAATCGATTTGACGCAGAACGAGGGGAGAGGCGCGTGTAATAATGCGGCGTAAAATCAGGCGTATCCGCCGTTTGACGGTCGATCATTCGCGTGGAAATTAACCGGCGAAATTGCCGTTTGTCGCGATAATACGGTCCGTGCGCTCCCAAAGAGAGACGCCGCCGATGCGAGATAAATATTTGGCGTTGCGCCGAAAGCCCGTCTCTCCGTCTCTCTCGCCCCTTTCGAGAGAGGAGGGGCGTTTCTCTCGCTGTTTCGCGACTTCGCTCGCCAGAATCAACCGATCGAAACCAGAGGGTAGAACGGCTCTGCGGTTTTTCCCTCCGCACTGGTCGCTAACTTCTGGTCTTTCTTTCGCCACCCAACGTCGTCGACTGATTTTTGTTTTTTTGTTTTTTTTTTTCAGTCACGATTGGCTTCGACCGTGTCTGTTCAGTATAACTTTCTTCCCATCCAACGAAACATCAAAACTAACTTCATTCGATTTTAAATTAAATTCAAGTTCAAACGCAGGCTCAATTTTTTTTCTTTTTTTTTCACTTGTGTTCTGAAAATTCAAATTTCGTTCAAAAAAGGATAAATTGGAGAAGTAAAGGGATTACGGATTTATTTTGGTAGAAGGTGATGTTTTTGAACTCGTTTCTAACATTCGGCTTCATTCGTTCTCGTTCGCGAGACTTTCGTACCGAGAGATCGCGCGAGTAATTTAATTGGAGATACAATCGCGTCGGATATAATGAGAGAAACGTCCGCCCGATAGAAAGAAGTTCGAAGCGAATTGTCTCTCACGCGATTATCCTTGTCGTCGATTGCCGCGAGCAATCGGAACTACCAATTGATATCTCGATTTCAAAACAACGAGAGCAACGAGACTGGCCGAGTTTAGCACAGCAGACGTTTCCTGGTAAACGCGTTTCGTCAAGAAGTCTCTCGAGTTCTTTTCTTATTCTCATCATCTGAATAGCCCGTCTATATTCCTAATCTTCCCGACAGTAAATCAAGCAGAGCTAATCGAATCGTCCGAGACGAGACATTTTAAAACTGAAACCAGAGTTCGTTCTCGAATCTCGAAAGCGTACAGAATGCAACTCGATTGGCTGTGAATCTTTTTCGGCAAAAAAAAAAAGAGAGAGCCAGTGTTTGAAGAACTAGTCGGTCGAGTTGATTTGAAAAAAGGCGCCGAAATCTCTCGAAGCCCTCGACGCCTTCTGCGCGAGAAAAGTTTCCGTGTCGGGCCGGAACTAGAACGAACTTTCGATGATTAATTAATCTTACTTCGCCGCTGTCAGCGGATGTCAGCGTTTCCGACGAGATTGTTCGTATCTGGTGCGTGCCTTGTCTCTCCGAAAAGATGCATGCGGGCCTCCCTGCTTGATTTATAGTGTCCGAGCAGTGTCGATAAAGCTCGCTCGCCTGTAATTCGCGCAAACGAATTCTAACTTCAAGTTATTCCTGAAACGAATCTCCGCGTTAATTGAGAGGAGCAGAGAAAAGTAAGTTTCTTCTCTAACATTTATCAAATAAAATGTTATCAAACTTCTTATTTCATTAAATTAATTGTTTGTTTATTTCATAATACAGCTGTGATATTATACTATAATGTATCGTACTGTTATATTTGTCGTACTGTTGGATGGCCTGACAATATTAACTCAGTGCTACCACGGAGACACCCAAAATCATAAAGTCGCTGTTAGCGTTAAATGATGAAGAAACATTTTTGCCATTTTTCAAAAGAACTATTCGAACTACCATTCATTTGCTATGATTTTACCTTCGCGACCAGTGGAACGCAATGCAGAGGAAAGAAAAAAATGTTGACCTTGAAATTCCCACCCTGTAAAAGTACCTTTAAAAATAAAAAATGCCTGTTCACGCGCGTGGTTTGGGTTTGTATTGAAAGGAGAGTAATTTGGGGGAGGAAGCTTCTATATGACACGAAATCTCAACAGCGCTGCGTGGCGCTAAAAAAACAGTTAAATATCTTCGCATAAAAAAAAAAGGCTGCCGGATCTGCTCGCTCCCTGTCTTTTTCATTTTGTCGTAGCGTGCCGCGTCGCGATCGTGAAATCCAGCGTGTAAAGTCGAGAGCGCCGGTAATTCAACCGTCCGTTCCGGGACCAACTCCATCAGCGGTTACTCCGGGGCACAAGCCGGGTGCACCAGCCGTATAACGGGCCGTTATTCAACCGTGGCCGACGTGGCGTAATGAATTCCAAGTTGGTCGAGAATCGAGAACGGTAGAACCTCGGTTCCGCTTATTCCACAGTGTCTCGATTATGCGTCTTTTCAGTGTTTCGCTTGGTCGTTGCGATCGAGACAGCTCCTGGGGTCACTTGACTCGAGAAGCTGGCGATAAGTCGACTTTTCTCGTCGAAATGGTACGTTTACCATTGTAACGCTATAACAATACTGTAATTTATTTTCATCGCTATTATAATACTGTAAAATTATTTTTAATATATTATTGTACGATGTGTTTACAGTCAGTCATATGTTATATTTATTTTTATTTATAATTATATTAACTATAATAATATAATATTCTATAATAATATAGT